AATTCGAACATTGAGAGTTGAACACATCTATCGCACTTTCTCTTAAATAAATGCTTATTTATATCAGCCAGGACATCCATCGAATAAAATATGTAACAAAGAAAACAGTGAGCACGTTATATCAGAGCGTAGCGTGTTCAAGCCGAATGTTATGTGTGCAGGTTCTCTTCTAGAAAAGGTCAAAAATGTTTCAATCAATCCTCACTTATCCAACTCAATCGAACGTAATATGTTATTTAATTGGTTTTGATATAGATTATTTCGATTTTTATTGTGCCATATATATGTACCACTAAATACTAGTTGAAAATTTAAACAAGGATATATTTCCAATATCCCTTCGTTTGATGATACCCTCTTTTTGTAATCATGCGTTAGCGTGAATTCTTTGCGTAAACACAAGTCCATAATACTCTCTGCATGCGTTTATCTTTCTCCGTAGGGACAGGAGCATTTCATGACAAATAAGGAAAATGTTTAATTTAATAAAGACAATTTATGGAGACTTTTTCTTTTGCTTTATAGGTGTCAAATATATTAAAAGAAAACAAGGAAGAAAAAGAGAAGGAAGTATTAGAGGATTAAGAAGGTGCCTTTAATCATATTAAGAGTTATGGGCTATAAAGCAACCCAAAATGACTATGGGAAAAAGGAGGAAGTGTGGGGGATTAATATATGTTTTTAAGGCTTCTACAAGATTTGTAGAAGAGAAACAAGAGGGGATGACTTATTTACTGCTTATAAATGCAGTTAATTACATGATGTATCAACAGAGGGAGCCAGTGTACTTTTTTTTCTTTGGATCATACTCCACCGATAAACATGACTTTTCTCATTTGACAACACTGATTCACATATTTTTTTTTTTTTTTTTTTTTTTTTTTTTTTTTTTTTTTTTACAAATCTTTATTTCAATGAAGTTATTGTGTATTAAATACATAAATAGACATTTTAGTCTAAACTTAAACCACTTATTTTTTCTATTCAATTAATATTAGTGGTGAAATAGAAGTAGATAATCAGCAAGGCTTAATACTTGAAAGCTTAATTGTGTCACAAGATTATAATAGATTAAAGTATCTTCATAACTTTATAAAATATATGTTAGGGCCAGAATCAATAAATGTTGTAATATAAATAGAAACATTGTCTTTTACATTAGTTGTTTTACGATATATTGAAACATATTGCAAAATTCGTTAGCTGATAGTGATGATTTTGTTGATTGTTTATCCACTAAAAAGTACTTGCATATATGTTGATACTTTTTCATACTATAATTGTTTTTACAATATATATATCATATAATTAAGAGCACCTACATTTGTAAGAATGGCAAGAATACATGGGGTCAAAAACAAAAAGTATTCAATTAACCTACAAAATAACCTGTAATATGTCTTCCAATACCTTATTTTTTATTAGTAGGAGTAAAGCAAATAAATAAAAACGCCCAGACAAAGTACATTAATTACTTAATAGACTGAATGACTCTCAAATATGAACAATGCTTTGATTAGCAAACGATTTTTAATGTTTTCAGTCGTGTTCTTAGTTGTGTAATTTCGCTATTACTTTTATTATGTTCCCTTTTTACAATTTATTTATTTAAAAACAAAACAAATTCGACAATTGTTAGTTATTATTTATTATTATGGCTTGGATTGTATATACGAGAACTGATAATACATTTACACGACCACTTAATAATATCTATTTTTATAGCTGAATTAAAGGTTTCTTCACGAGTAGGACTTAATATACATAATGTTTAATTAACCACAAGACTTTTATGATAAGTAGCTTTGAGAGTTTTCTGGCCTGCACTTTGGATATCATACCATGCAATTTTGTCCTTGCATATATTTGGCAGTGCAAAAAATAGTATCATTGATCAACAATAGTTTAAATTCGGCTTTATATTCACCCCTCATTTCATTGGTGGATTTTAGAAAAATATCACTTTATTATATTTTGTCAAATGTATTTTTTTAGGCTTACTCTTTTCAGAACAATACTTAAGAATACCTACTTAGTGAAAATTATTTGTTCTTAAGAGCTTTGTAAGATATTTTTCAATAGTCAAGGGACAATTTTGTTTGAAAAAATAAGTACATATTTGTGTAATAGTTTGATTTTCTGATTTAGACAGTTTTGAATACGGCCTTGTGTCAAATATTCATTGACCATCACTCACCACTTGGCATATAGAAAGAAAACAAATCATTTGATTATCCTGTTATATCATTTTTATATATTTTGATGCCATTATATGTCTATTAGTACAGCTTATTTTCTTTAAACAATTACATAGACTTAGTGCGCCTTATACAAAATATAGAAGTATGTTTTTAACTCTTTTTTAATCCCTCAACCATTAATTTAATACTAAAAAAGTCCGCTATTGACAACAACGCCATAAAAAATCGTAGCATGTATAAACCACAGACAACTAATATTTGAAAATAAGCCACCAATCTAATAGATAATACTTTGATGTCCAAAAGCATCAATGAAAGTAGAAAACAAAGCATTCAACTAAGAAATACATGGCAGTCATCTTCTCTGTATGAAATTAATATATCTAATTTATTACTCAAATGATAACATTCATCAATTTGATGTAGTATTTTTTTCTATTCCCTTCATTGTTTATATCTCTTTTAACAAAAGGGGCAGCCATTTTAATAATTATTTTACGGCCATCCAACAACAGTTGAAGTATCGAGCAAATATTCCGTCTCTGTTGAGTATCTAGCCATGATATGGGTCGATGAATGCTCGCAGAAGAAAAATGGGGACAAACAAATTTTTTAAGAATAAAATTGCCTTCAAATGAGGCAATTATATTGACCATGATGACGGACCTAGTCAATCATACTTACCATTTTCCCCATGAAAAAACATATATGTATATAGTGGAGGGAAAATATAATTGTATTTTTTAAGGCAATGAAACAAAGAAAAGGTAAGTCTTATATCCCACGTATCTTTATTTTTTATGAGCTATAAAGGGAAGACATTATGGTGAGGGAAATCAACGCCCTTAAAATTGTCGTTTGATCATAACAGGTATGCATAAATATCAAAGCATAAAATTATAAAAAAGGGGTTGCTGAATCAAATAAAAATACACTTTTGTGTCAGGGATGGATTGATTTTTTTTTTCAAATATATATATTTGGAGCAATACATATCCATATTCTCTTAAAGCTTTTTTAAATGTTTTTTTTTTTATAGAATACTGTGACATATACATAATTTACAGTTATTACATTATGTAGTCTACAATATGTAGATAAGTCTGTAATAATTTACAGACTTTAGGGGTTAAAAAAAAATACATACATCACCAGCTAATAAGGAAGTATAGTGGTATTTACAGTGGAATGGAAATGCTTTATTCCAGTAAACGTTCAAGTTATTTGTCAAACAAGAAGTCTAGTGTGTATACAGGAAAAAACTTAGTTTTTGAATTATAATGTTCATTTATGTTTTGTTTTTAACATAACTGTCTTACAATTGGGTTTTTTATCTCCCACTTTCTAGTGTATTCTTTTTTTTTTTACACTGTATGGATTTTAGCTAATAAATAAACATTTTAACTATTTAAAACTTAGTTTAATGTTTAAACTTTCCATCAACGGGTCTAGATTTGTGTTTTTAAACAAAATTTTTGCGGTAAATGATATATATATATATATATATATATATATATATGTATATATATATATATGTGTCTGTGGTGTTTTAGATATTTTGGCTTTAATACATTTCAAAGAGCTTATTGTATTATTTTCTTAATGCAAAAGATTCGATGTTAGGTTTTATTCATCGCTAAGTTGTTTGGAATTTCACTTTGGTCTTGACACTCAATATCATTCCCCTTTAGTATTTTGCGGACGTTGGTATTTATTTTTTATAGAGAAAAAACATTCAATAAAATTATAAACGAACTATCCTTCCTCACCGTATGCTCATGTTTTAATCAATTGAAGCCATTTGTTTTTTTTGCCTGAAACAAGTTGTGGAGGCAATGACATTATTGCGTAATCTCTATATTATTTTGGAATGTTGTAAGGAAAAAATTTTATTTGTATAAAATCTTGATGATGAACATATTGTCCAGGATGATTTTACAGATTTCTTATGTCAATAATTAAAATTTTCTCGCAAGGCATTTTTTCTGTATTTTCCTCTGGCCATATACTAATTGTATTTTCAATTATGAACTGTGGTTTGCTAAAAATAGAAACTAAACAAACGAATCATTTTCCTGGAGTGATTCCTCCTCATAAAATTATATTATTGATTTGTTTTCTGGCAATCTTTTTTTCATATTGGCTACCCATCCTAAGTATTTTTATATTTCTTTTCTCCTGTTTTTTTCATTTGTTGGTGGTTTTGTTAGATTAAAAATAACAATTATTTTTAAAAATAATGCATATCGAGTTGGACGGTATAAATCAATTTAAATATTCCTACTATGGTTAGCAACTCATTTACTGTTATATGCTGTATGTATTCTGTTCTTGAATAGCAGAGCACTGTCAGGAAAGCATAAAATATATTTTACGACAGAGAAAAAATAAAAATGTTATATTAATCAATTAAACACCTGTGAAACCATCATATCATTTTTATATACATAAGATCCTATATAGTTGGAAATCAAAACATTTTGAAAATCATAAGACATCTTTTAAAATTTAATTGTGTTAAATATACAGCTAAATACTTTAGATACCAAGACTTTAAACATTAAATGTAGGTAACTTTTAAAGGTTGTTGTCCCCATGGGGATAAACAAATATAATTGCTTATACTGTATGAAAATGCGTTTCATTTTTTGATAAACATAACACAAACAGTAATATTTAAACAAAATAGAAAAAAAGTTTATTCAAGAGTCAATGCAACTGCTTTTAACTCTCCGTTTTACTTTTTCGTTTACAATGATTGAAATTTTATTGTTTGTCGTGATACAACAAATAAAAATTTGACCCCGACGTGATTTGAACACGCAGCCCTTCTGATCTGGAGTCAGACGCGCTACCGTTGCGCCACGGAGTCAGTTAATATTAAGTTATAAAATAATATATAATTGTAAAAATACTTTTATCTTCTTCTAGTATCTCATATATACTCATTATATGTCATTTAGCAGATGCTTTGTCAGTTGCAGGTGGTGTGACATTGAGATGAATGCATTCTATACAAATATAGTTTGAGCAGATGCTATCCTGGGACATATCAGGGATTATATGGGTAAGTTATTTTTCTCTGCCATAGTTATTACTAAGACGAACTTCGTACCCCTGTCATATTAAGACCATCCTTGAATATCTAAGGCGCATCTTTCAATGCGAGGGATCGGGTTAATCCTCTTTATTTCAGGCGGGTTAAAGACATAATAAACTATTATAGTGCATGAACATGTATAAAGATTGATATGGGTCCAATCAAGGGAAATCCAATTTATTACTTCGAAAGATCAATTCACAATAATTAGTTTTGAAATAATACAAATATTATTTGTTAAGAAAATAAATATATTCCACGTTTTAAAATGAGTCGTTTTATTATTTTTATACAAATAATTGATTTTACCATGCAAAATACAACTATGCAATTTAATCAATGTTCTCCAATATAATAATTAGAACAATTAGAAAATTTATATTTTCAACTTTCATAACTATAGCAAAAGATCGAACCATGAACTGACCGGTTCATCACTCTGGGCCGTCTCATCACTAGGAGGGAGTTTGTATATGTATTTTGGCGGCTTTATTAATCAGTGAGAATATAGTTATTTAAGTGTTAACACACGTCCGTAGTTTTATTATGCCTAAGAGTACGACACAATGACAACAACCAATCCATCTTTTCACTTTTTTCATAAAAGCTTAAGTTGGTAAATTGTGGGTGTATTATTTAACATAAATAATAGTAGCTTTAAAAGTTACAATTATGTTGTCAAAAGACTCTCCTCGATTATTATGTCTGCGTAGCAAGGATTAAGGTTGCACAGCCTAAGGAATACTCCTTTAATGAGACCATTATTTTAAATAATCAGGGAAGAATAAACTAAAGAAGAGTCTTAAAGTATAATTTCAAGAATGCCCTTCCTGGAGACAAATATCATAGAATAATAACCAAATGGATGAATTGCCTGACTGTTTTGAGGTCATAACCATGGCTGTAGGAATATGGTAAATCAATTTTTGGTACATAGCCGACCTTTAACACTTATTACGCATATATACATAGCTTTTTGTATATTTATCGCATATTATTTTTTAAGGAGGTTGCGACTTATTTTTCAAGGAAAAAGTCTCCATAAAAAACTTTCTTTTATCTCTGTCCCTTTTATCCTATATTTTCTTATTTTTTCTGCCTATTTCTGGGTGTATCCGAACATTATACCCCCTTCCTTCCTATAGCCCTGATCAAACATAATATTAATAATATTAAAGTAAAAACATAAATTTAATCCACAATTCCAATTTATATTAACATGTTTCCAATGCCAAATAACACAATCAATACGAAAGATATACTTTTAACAGATTACACAGGCCAACAAATTTTGGTCAATCTCCCTTGATTGAACGAAATGTACATAGATAACTAAAATGAGACCTCCTGAATCCAAATCTGGCCTTACTTTTTCTGTGGCACATCCAGATTTTTTGATTTTTGAGTTTTTTTGAAACGGTCACTTTATGATGAGTACAATTTTTAAATACGATTCTTCGTTAGTATATTAAGTTTAAAAGAAAATTAATAAAATAATATTTGTTTGTGATGAATTAACAAATAAAAAATGGCCATTCAAATTATTTTCCTTCCATTCAAAGTCCTGGATGATCTCAAAACTGGTGAAAAAGTAGTCAAAATGGTTCATTTCAAAGTGATGCCTATAACTTCTTGGATTTTTATGAAATTCTGCAAAAGAGACCATATTCCTATAGTCGAAACCCTTGCAAATCATGTTAAATTAATGTATTATTAGTTTAATCATTTTAACGACATAAATTAGCAAATGAATAAAAATTAATAAGCGCTTTTAATTTAAAAAAATTGCTAGGTTTGGTGACCATTTACAATGGTTGCGGGATTTGAAATAAGAAAACTAAGACATATTAAACATAGATAAACTTAAGTATATTATTGTACTATCTGATTACATTGAAATTTTAAACTGGTTCAAATTTTCTTTTTGCACTTTTTCGTTTGTATAATTTGTCAGAATCCCTTTCCAACAATAATCCGCCATCATATGTTGCGGGATTTTATATACCAATATAGATTGTATTTTAGTCCCTTAATACTTCTTCTGGATTTACTGGTTGTCATGAGTGTTTTCAATAGCCTAACGAATGATTCATAACGATATATTAGTTACTCAGTCTTAAAAAAATATTTTTCTCCAAAATCATGTCCCAAGATCAAAGAGCAAAAATGATCCAAACAGTTTTTGCTACATATGTGGATACTATACATTGTTCGTGATCATCGAGACATAACCAATTTATTGAATATGCTTATAAAGCATATTATGGACTTACCCTTGGGAATCAAGACAACAATGGGCCCCCTCACACTGTTTGCCATAATTGTGGGGAAAAGTACGTAACTGGACCAAAGGTAAATACTATGGCTTACCTTTTGGACGATTCAAAGGGATTCTGACAAAGTATACAAACGAAAAAGTGCAAAAAGAAAATTTGAACCAGTTTAAAATTTCAATGTAATCAGATAGTACAATAATATATTTAAGTTTATCTATGTTTAATATGTCTTAGTTTTCTTATTTCAAATCCCGCAACCATTGTAAATGGTCACCAAACCTAGCAATTTTTTTAAATTAAAAGCGCTTACTAATTTTTATTCATTTGCTAATATATGTCGTTAAAATGATTAAACTAATAATACATTAATTAACATGATTTGCAAGGGTTTCGACTATAGGAATATGGTCTCTTTTGCAGAATTTCATAAAAATCCAAGAAGTTATAGGCATCACTTTGAAATTAACCATTTTGACTACTTTTTCACCAGTTTTGAGATCATACAAGGACTTTGAATGGAAGGAAAATAATTTGAATGGCCATTTTTTATTTGTTAATTCATCACAACAAATATTATTTTATTAATTTTCTTTTAAACTTAATATACTAACGAAGAATCGTATTTAAAAATTGTAATCATCATAAAGTGACCGTTTCAAAAAAAACTCAAAAATCAAAAAATCTGGATGTGCCACAGAAAAAGTAAGGTCAGATTTGGATTCAGGAGGTCTCATTTTAGTTATCTATGTACATTTCGTTCAATCAAGGGAGATTGACCAAAATTTGTTGGCCTGTGTTATGCATCTAATCCTCCATATTGTATTTATATTAAATTACAAAAGGAATTTTACAAGGCTGGTCTCTGGAGCTATGATACATTATGATCAAATAGGGCTTAATCAGTTTAAAATCCATGAATAAAATTATTCAAATGAAATTTGTTGTAGATCTATTGACGTCAGTGAGATCATTGGAAATATGCAGATCATTTTATGGTCTAGCGGCTAGAGTCTAGCCAAGGGATAGGCAAACTTTGGACTTGTGGGCCACTTTGGGTTAAATTTTTTTGAAAAAGGGGCCACTTTCTTTTTTTGGTCCGCTCATTTTTTACAAAAGGGCTTAAATGGCAATGAAAAAATTCAAGAGATAAATAAAGAGTAAGGTGCGGCCTAATTGTCAGCGCGCCATCTATTGATGAAACACGGTATTGTATAGACAAGACGTAATGAATGATTTATGAAGCAATATTATTGTATTTAATAGACAAGCTCGGCGGCCGGATTAAATTGTAAAAAGGGCAGTATACAGCCCGTGGGCCTTAGTTTGCCCATGTCCGGTCTAGCCATAATAGGCTACTAAAGAAAAATATTTACGAGAAGGAAAAACAAGAGAGACAGAATAACCATTGCTTAAAAAGGGTATTTAGGTATTGCTGATAAGTTCATGTTCGTTTAGATTATGGAAATGCCTTCATCCTCCGTAGCGGAGGAGTCCTACAATGTTGCCAGGTTTGTGTCTTGCCAATAGCTCTGAGATGAGACAATACACAATCTGCACTCACATTATAATACTCGTGGATGACCATAGGATTCTTGGTGTCGCTTACGAACTGCCTAGTAGTAACTGACAACTGTTTAAGTACTAAATCTTTTGGTGTAGCGTCAACCAGTCTTACTGAGGCGATCATGAGTCGGTTTTGAAACATGAAGTGTATTTTTTTCAATCATAAAAGTTAGATAAAGTGTTTTATCATTTTAATTATTTACTTGGTTTGAAGCGTGTTATAAAAAAACAACAAAGGGATTCATAACAAATATATCTTTATTATAGGATAAGTTTTAATTATTAAATCATGAATGGAGACTCATTTTTATGATAACAAAATTTAAGTAAGTTTGTTTTAAATTTCTTGTGTTTTTTGTAAGATCTTAACTTTTTTGAATATTTTCTCTTGAAGTGTTCCAAACATATCACAGAGCATAGAAGTTTGCTTTTGTGCGGTTATATGTTTTTCCTTCTACAATAAAAGCGTAAATTGATAAATACACTAAAAACAAAGTCGACATAAAAAAAATCAATTGACAGTTTCGCAAATACATATATTTAAATAAACAATATAGTTTCTACTTTTCACAAACATTTTTATCAATAACATTATTAATATATTAGTATTTGAGTATATTGATCTATAATAGCATTAACACAAAAAGTATTAAGCAATAAATATGCATGTAGATTGTTCACACTTAAAAAAATACAAAGATGAAATGGAAGTAGTCTTATGGCAGGCTTTGCCATATTTTCAAATGATTGATTATGAATGCATTGAAGTCAAAAATAAAGGGCTGTGCCTGGCCACGATGGGATGCAGTTTGATTCAATGTTATAAAGATCAAAACAACTTCTAGAAAATCAAGGAACCAGTTTTAGCTTATGTAGACTTAGCTTATAGTTGGTATTATTCATATATTGATTTGGGTTTCAACGAATTGCGAC